AAGACTATTATTGATTATTGAAATGAGCTTTAATGTTGTTATTATACTGAAAAAAGACGAGTTAATTTACACTAAAATTAGAGCTAAGATTTCTTTTACTCAGTACTTAATGCACTTTATATTCGTCCAATTTTCCTATTTTATAACGGCAAAAAATAAGCCGAATGGGGTGTCAAAATGAAACTAATACACTCTTCTTACCGCACTTTTCAGTTGAATATTTCTCCTTCCTTAGGAAATTGTCTAATACTTTTTTAATTCTATCAGAAGAAAAAATCCAAACAAGTTATTTTTCAAATTTCAATAAAAAACAATACCGAAACCTCATAAATAAATTTTGGAGCTTTCGAAATACACAACCTTATTAAAAGCAAGCAGCCTTAACTGTATCGCTAAATAGTTTTATCAAGTTATGTCCAAACAGCAGCTGCTTTTTAAATGAGAGAAGCATCATAAGTAAACAATTATTCGTAAAATCTTTTTCACTTTTCACGTGTTCTACAACCAGAAAACTCTTTCTAAGGCACTAAAACACTAACCTTCATTGCTTTATCATAACAAAAAGAAAAATGATCCAACTTTAAGACACCTGCTTTCTAAAGCACAAAACGGCTCAGCGACTGAAAAATAAGAAAAAAAAAATTAAAGTTACTGTTGGCTAATACAAAATTCTTAACAAGGAAATTATTACTAGTAAAAAGATTTTGACAAATCAACTTGTTAAAAAAAATGAAATCAAGGAAATGAGAAGGTAGCAAAAACTTCTAGAAACATACAGTAATTAAGGCGGCAGATAACAGATAAAAAATGATCTCTTCACTGAGTGAAATGACTTGTAAGAATATACATCTGTTTTCTGAAAAAACGTAGTTTTCAGAAATAACATTTAAGACATTATAAATTTTTTTTTGCACCAATTTGAATCTTACAAAGGTACTCAAAGTGCAGAAACAAGTATGAGAAATATTAACACCTTAAGAAAGGTATCGAGAAATTTAAAAATTTTTTTTACAGAGCAACTCAACTAGTTTCGCCATTATTGATTTTGTCGTCACTCATGTATACAGCACACTCTTGCCTAATTTAGCAGTCTACAACAACAAAACTGCGGTTGCTGAGAGATTTATAAATTAACAGCAACATGTCTATCTCTTCACGTTGCTTTTATTTGCCTCACAAACCCTTCGAGACTTCAGCGCATGACTGTATAAAAGGTCTCGCTTTAAGCAACGTTCTTAGCTTCGCTGTTTCATAGCGAGCCGAAGAAGAGGTTACTACTGTTCAGCTTCAGACTCAAACAGGATTTACTATTCTGTAAGAGAGTAACCAGGAACAATTTCATTGCTCAACTTGGTTATTTTGAAACAAATTTGTTGCTACATCTTGTTTTAAATTTGAACAGTGCTTTGTCAGAATTGTTCCAAATTTGTTATAGACGAGGTTGACGTTAAAAGCGACAAAATCAAGAATTCTCTAAAAATAGGTACTTTTTTGTCTTTATTTCTTTCAAGAAAAGTTATTTGAACAAACTCATACTGTAGCAACAACTGTTTCAGCTTTATTTTGTGCTGAAAAACCGTTTTCAAATATCGACAATTTGTCTTAAATGTCTTCTACAACAAAAAAGATACAAAGATATAAGATTTTGGTTATGCATCTATTTAGAATTATAGAAAATGATTTTCACTTGTTGATTAGTAAAAGCCAAGTAATAAATTTCATCTGACAAGTATTTTTTTTATTCTGTTTTTTTAAAATATTGTCTTTATGTTTCTGTAAAACACTTAAAATAAGTCAGTAAAAGTTAATTGTGCAAATGGAAAGTTCTGCTGTACAACTGTACAACAGCTTACATGTACATTTTTCGTTTTTTATTAAATGCTAAAAATTTGGTTCTTAATCTGAAGAATTTCTTGTAAGACTTTTTTCAAAAACTTTATCGCGGATAAGCTGTTACAGCAGATGGATACTGTAATTTACTGTGTAATGTTTATCAAGTTTCAAAAAGTTATAAATTACTTCAATAATCTATTATTTAGGCCATTATTGAATTATTATTTCCTATTATTTAGTACAAAAAATAACAAAAATTTAAGAATATAAGTGTAGAAAAGGTTGTATAAAAAATAAGTATGAAAAAGATGTGAAGTATTACTGAATACCGTAAAATGTTTGAAGACACGAGCAGTAAGCAATAAGGACGAAGTAGAACACTTACGCTAGTCTTGTAAAATCCTGAAAAAAATATTTTTTGTTTAAAGCCATAACTTCGTATCAAAATGTTAAGTTAAAAGTTTTCTAAAGCGGCAACGACTATTGAACACGCAATATTCTTTCTGGTAGAAAAAACTTGTACTAGAAACCTTGAAGAAGCTTAACAATGAAGGAAGATTAATTTACGGTATAGATTCTCCAAAAAATTTGTTTCCCTTTTTTTAAAGTGTAGTCTTTCAATCCTTATGACACGATTAGATAAATTAACCAAACACAGTACTTTTATTCAACAAAATTTGCTCATATTTTCTTTGTGCATTTAACTTTAGTCAAAATTGTTGTTTATTAGTAAAGTTTTAGAGAAAATTGATTGTTGTCTTTAGCTTTAGTTACTTTATTTGTTGAGAATTGATAATTGCTTGTAATTTTTTATAACAATTTTTATGTGGTTTTGCAGTAAGCTTTTCTTAGAAATTAAACGATGGTCAAGAATATAAGGTCGCAATGCTCGGCATCAGAGCCGACACAAAAGCTGAAAAGATGCTTTCCCATATAATATCAGAAACGTGAAAAGAAGCGAATATGAGAACCGTTAGCGCTCAATAAAGGTGTCGAAAAATTTGAAAATTTTGTCACAAAGCGACCCAGCTACTTCCACCATTAACCCATTCGTCGTATTTCATCGTTTGCAAATGAGCAAGACACCTGTATTGCGTTGGACAAACTTTTTCTTCACTTCTGAGGGCTTCAAAACAACTGTCTGTTTCTTTCATTACCTAAAAAAAA